TCAATTGTAACCTGTTAATTTCCCTAATAAACCCCAAAACTGTGAGTCTACTGCCTGAGTTCTGTGTGGCCATTGCAGCAAATGATCAAAGCCAGGTGAGAAGTAGAGAATGTGTAGAAGGAATGGCTGGTGGTGGAAGTGGTAAAGGTTAGAGCGTGGAGGTGTATCTGACCTCCATTTCATAGGGACCAGCCTTTTGCTGAACTTTCTAAAAGACGTTATTTTTGCACTGAGTCATATGATATGAGACTCCGGTGTGGCGCTGTAGGATCAGCACTGGACTGCAAACCGTAAGGTGGACAGTTCAAACTCACCTTGGAAACCCAATACAGGGCCACTATGAGTTGGATTTGACTCAACAACACTTAAAAACACAACAACAGCATATGGTAAGTGTATATTTAGTTTTATAATAAACCATCAAACAGCTTTTCAGAGTAGCTGTACATTCCCATCAGCAGATTATGGGAGACCCAGTTGTTCTCCATCCTTGTCAGAATTTATTATTATTATTACTTTTTACCTTAGCCAATCTAATAAGTATATAGTGATGCCTTGTTGCGGTTTTAATGTGTATTTCCTAATGGCTAATAATGTTGAACATCTTTTTTTTGGGAAAATGTTTTTAAAATGTTTCTTTTGTAGGCAGAAACTAGAGAAAGTTTACAGTGGCAAAATATATTAAATAGATGCAGGAAAATATATTACATATATGCAGGAAAATAACAGACATTCAAGTGAAGAAACCCAGCAGTTTGTTTTTTTTCTTCTTTTTTTAAAAAAGAAACCGAAAAGAAAGATAGTAATACTATAATGTTGGATTTATAAGGGTTTTATTCTGATGACACATTTGTGGGTTTGAATCTCTTGACTTGTAGAGGATGAGTAGATTGTACCTGTGACTTTGAGAGAGATTAGCAATGACATCTGGACACATTTAAAAAGCAGTGGTATTTTTATAACTGTGCTGTATGAACCATTTTCGTAGAACTATCAGCTTTAAGACTTCTCACCCAAAGATTATTCATTTTTCTTCAGCCATGTAGTACTAAAATGCAAACAGATTAAACTAGTGCTCCTTTGAAGTAGAAAGAAAGCAGGTCTCTTCAAACATGTTGGTTTCGTAATTAAAATTAACTCACATTGAGAAGAATTTCTGGTGTCTTTGCAAACCACTCTGAGTTGTCTGCACCTCTACCACATCACCTCCTTCGCGCTATGCAGATTCACAGCTCTTCCCATTAGTCAAGGCAGTTTCCATCAGAAACAAAGGACAGAAAAAAATCCCCTCTCGACCTAATTATTTCACGTCTGTCCCACTGCTCTGAATTGGGCATGTTAGTGGAAGTTAATACAGAACAACAACCAGCGTCCCAATTGTACTGTGTGATAACCAGCTCTGAGACTAATTCTACATGGCATGTATAGCATACGCATGCAACAATTTATTTTTTTTATGTAAGCAAGCTCTCAAACCTTTTCTGTAGACCAACTCTTTTCAATTCTTGGCCAGTTATTGATGTTATAGGATAAGCACTGAACCTTATGGTTTGAACCACAAGATTCAGCAGTTCAAGTTCACCAGCCGCTCTTTGGAAATCCTATACAGGGTTGCTATGAGTCAGAACTAACTTGACAGCATGTAACAACAACAACCCCTGTATTAGAGGTTACATCAGAAAAATTTAGGCAGGCTCATTCAGAATTTTTGACACCCATCTGTCAGTTTGTTGGACTGTGGTGGCTGTGTTGTTTGTTATGATGCTGAAGGTAGGCCACTGGTATTTCAAATAGTTAAGTTTCAGCTGAACTTCCAAATTAAAACAGACTAGGATGAAAGGCCTGGTCACTGACTTCTGAAAATTAGCCAGTGAACATGTTATGGATCATAACAGAGAATTGTACGTTATAGTGCTGTAGAACAAGCCCCCTAAGTTGGAAGGCACTCAAAGAACCCTGTGAACATAATAATGATTTCAAGCTTACCAATGTTTATGAAAAGAAGCTCTGGTAGCTTAGTAGTTATGAATCGGGCTGTGAACTGCAAGGTCAGCAGTTCGAAACTACCAGCTGTTCTGCAGGAGAAAGATGAGGCTTTCTGCTCCCGTAAAGATTTACAACCTCGGAAACCCTGTGCTGTGTCGCTATGGGTCAGAAGCGACTCCACAGCACTGAACAACAACAACAACATTTGTGAAGAAGGTACAGCACCAGGTGATGCTTTTTGTTCCATTGACATGGTTTCACCATAGTCAGAGCCAAGTCAATAACAAACAACAAAGAATGAAGTTGTTTTGGATACAGAAGGCCAGGTACTTTGTATTTTCTCATGTGTTGTTGTTGTTGTTGTTAAGTGCCATTGAGTCAGTTCTGACCCATAGCAACCCTATATAGAGTTTCTGAGGAGCGGCTGGTGAGCTTGAACCACCAACCTTGAGCTTCAAACCTACTTTGTAGTCCAGTGCATTAACCCACAGCACCATACCAGGATTCCGTGTTGCTGGAGTCTAAAGTTTAAGCTGTGCCATAAACTTGGTATATACAAGGGGACTTTAAAGAGTTTATGGAAAAATTCATTCTGTTTTAATTCCACTTTTCCACAAACTTTTTATAGCTTCTTCATATATGCCTTTTTATTAATTTTGTTAAATTTCAGTGCTGTAGCTCAAGAGGAGAAGGTCGGTAGACAGCTACATTAACAATTAGAATCTATTTTAATTGCTGTTGTTGTTGTTTGCTGTTGTTAAGTGCCATCGAGTCGGTTCCGACCCATAGCGACCCTGTAACAGGGTTTCCAAGGGTGTAAATCTTTACGGGAGTAGAAAGCCTTATCTTTCTCCCGCGGAGCGGCTGGTAGTTTCGAACCGCTGACCTTATGGTTCACAGCCTTGTCGTCAACTCCGTATCAACTCATAGTGACCTTATGCATAACAGAACAAAACACTGCCCAGTCCTACGCCAATCTCACAATTATTGCTATGTTTGAGTCCATTACTGCCATCTCTGTGCCAATACATCTCATTGGGGGCTTTCCCCTTTTTTGCTAACCCTCCACTTTACCAAGCATGTTATCCTTCTCCAGGGACTGGCCCTTCCTGATAATATGTCTGGAGTATGAGAGACAAAATCTGGCCATCCTGGCTTCTAAGGAACATTCTGCTGATACTTCTTCCAACACCAATTTATTCTTCTGACAGTCCCTGGTACTGCTAATATTCACCTCCAACACCATAGCTCAAATGTATCAATTCTTCAGTTATTCACTGTCCAGCTTTCACATGGATGTGAGGCTATTTAAAATACCACAGCCTGGATCAGACACATTTTATTCCTTAAAATGACATCATTGTTCTTGAACACTTTAAAGAAGGCTTCTTGTGTAGCAGATTTGCCTAATTCAATATGTCGTTTGATTTCTTGACTGCTGCTTCCATGAGTGTTGATGGTTAATCCGAGAAAAATTAAGTCTTTGACAACTTCAATCTTTTCTCCATTTATTTTTATCTTATTTATCAGTCCAATAGTGAGAGTTTTTGTTTTCTTTATATTGAAGTGCAGCCCATACTGAAGCCTGTGCTCTTTGATCTTCATCAGTAAGTAGTGTAAGTCCTCTTCTCTTTCAGCAAGCAAGGTTGTATCATCTGCATATCACAGGTTGTTAATGAATCTTCCTCCAATCCTAATGCTACGTTCTTCATATAATTCAGCTTCTCGGATTATTTGTCCAATATATGCTATAATTAGTGTTATGAACAGAACATGCATTCAACTCTATGGAGACATAAAGAATTCCAATCTTTGAATTCACATAGCTCTCTGCTCCCATAGTCAATAAATTATTACACACCAGAGAATAAACAGACTTTTTATTTGTGGCTAACTTATATTTCCTCCTCCATGGAGGAGCCCAGAAAGAACCCATGTCTTTGTACATTAGTGATGGGTCCCATGGGCTTGAATTTATGATTATGAGCTCAACTTTTTAAGAGTGCATTTTTTTCTCTATCCTTGCCATTTTTACCTTCCCCAGGTGGAGGATTGTGGAAGTTTAATGACAATTCAAGAGATATTTTAAAGTACATTTAAAGGCACAGCTTTCAAAAGCGGAGAAGTTCTTACCCCCAAAGGTAACATGATAGTCTGCATCTCTTTCAGATTTCTTAGATCCAGACTTGCTAGTTCCCTCTAGATTGTGAAGCTAACCTAAATATATGGCAGTTCAAATCTAAATGTCTGATCAGGTGCTGTACAGTTTTCTATTAGCCTTTTGTCCTGATGCTGTACCCCTGTCCATCATCCGAGAAAAACATCAAACTATATTTTGTCTCCATTTAGTTCCTGTATTATGCCCATCCATAATGAAAATTCTGTGAATCACAAGGATACAGTCCACTACCAGTCATGGGAATAGCTCAGATCAGCAGCATTTCATTCCATTGTGCACAGGGTCACTGTTAGTCAGAGGTCAGTACACTTATAGCTAACAACATTTATCTTTAAATGTGCTTTGTAGAATCCCCTTCTAAAGAAGGAAGCTTTTCTATTCGTCCTCCACTGAATCTAAAACCATGGGCTTTTCCCAGGTGCTGTCAGGTAAAGCCATCAGAAATCAGGGAGCATGTCTACTCCTTTCCTCCCACTACAAACAGGCATTCTTGCAGATAAGAAAAACATGCCTTTAATCTCACATGGACTTTTCGTTCACTTCTTCATCTTCACTTCCTTGTGGTAGCTCTCATTTTCTACTTTGTGTTTTACTTGTTTATGGACATATTCCCTCTCCTCGGTGAGTTTGACAAGTCCTTTGAAGGTGGCTTAATATGTTGGCCTGGTGCATAATACACACTACATAAATTTCTAATATTTGAATAAAGGCAGAAATAGTTCATCTTTGCATCTTTCACAGCATCATGGACCTGATAAGGGCTCAAAGTGTATCAAATAGTGGAATCAATGAATGAATGAAAGCATGAATTTCTAAAGACCAGTTATTGGGCCGCACAAGCTGCCTCCAGTAGTTTCATATTTGGGAATTGTGTTTATTCATACAGTGACATATATGACTCTAACCACCTGCTAAGCACTCTACTATGTTCTGAGGTTGCAAAGATTATGAAGAAACTATTCTGAGTCCAAAGAAACCCACGTGTTGTAAGCACAGCATGTATGTAGATCCATTCTACACTTACATGTTCCAAACAACCATACCCTCTATATTTCCTATAATTGATCTAATCTTCAAAAAGAGCCTCCCCCACAAACAACCTCAAGCCGGCTGAGTAGCAACAGATGGAGACAAAGGGCCAGCTTAAAAACTCTCTTTAGGACTAATTTTAGTCTCTCAGGCTTCCTACCTCCATATTCGTTTCTGAGATGGCATGTTAGTATCAAGGGTGTTTGTTTGAACTGTGGTCTCATGTTGGTCCTTTGACAAGGACCAATGTGAAATATGGCTGGTTGTGCACTTGCTGTATCTAATGCGGAGCAGCTGTTTAGTTTGATCACTGGCACTATGCTGGCTTCTACTTTTCTCTCAGTGCCAGCATTTCTCCCAATCTCTTTGAAAACTGAGCCTGCCTGGATTCCTATTGGCGCTGAGGACTTCCTGGTGTCTGGTTATGACTGGAGAACAGAATGAAACACTGCCCGTTCTTGTGCCAAACTCACAATTTTTGCTATGCTTGAGCCCATTGCTGCTGCCACTGTGCCAATCCATCTCATTGGGAGTCTTTCTCTTTTTCACTGAGCCTCTACTTTACCAAGCATAATGTACTTCTCCAGGAACTATTTCCTCCTGATAGTATGTCCGAAGTATAAGAGATGAAGTCTACCCATCCTGACTTCTAAGGAGCATTCTAGCTGTATTTCTTTCAACACAGATTGGTTTGTTCTTTTGGCAGTCCATAGTACTTTTAATATTCACCTCCAACACCATTACTCAAGTGCATCAATTCTTCTGTGGTCTTCTTTATTCATTGTCCAACTTACACATGCATATGAGGTTATTGAAAATACAATGGCTTGGGTGAGGTGCACCTTAGTTCTCAAATTGACATCTTTGCTCTTGAACACTTTAAAGAGGTCTTATATAGTAGATTAGCCTAATGCAATACATTGTTTGCTTTCTCAACTGCTGCTTCCATGAGTATGATGGTTCATCAGAGCAAAACTTCAAATTTTTCTCCATTTATTTTGATTGATTTATTTTTCCAGTGGTGAGAATTTTTGTTTTCCTTACATTGAGGTGCACCCATTCCAAAGGCTGTGATCATTAATCTTCATCAGTGAGTATTTTAAGTCCTCTTCACTTTCAGCAAGCAAGGTTGTATCATCTGCATATCCCAGATTGTTAATGAGTCTTCCCTACAACCCTGATGCCATTTTCTTCTTCATATAATTCAACTTCTCGAATTATTTGCTTAGCATGCAGATTGAATAAGTATGGTGAAAGAATGTAACCCTGGCATACACCTTTTCTAATTTTAAACCATTTAGTGTTCTCATGTTCTGTTCAAACAACTGCCTGTTGGTCTAAGTACACGTTCCTCGTGAGGACAATTAAGGATTCTGGAATACTCATTCTCTACATTGTTGTCCATAGTTTGTCATGATCCACACAATCAAAAGCCTTTGCATAGTCAGTAAAACACAGGAAAACATCTTTCTGGTATTCTCTGCTTTCATTCAAGAGCCATCTGATGTTCTCATCTGAATCCAGCTTGAGCCTCTGGCAGTTTTTGTCAATGTACTGTTGTAGCCATTTTTGAATTATCTTTAGCAAAAATTTACTTGCATGTGATGTTATTGATATTGTCCAATGATATCCTCATCCTTCAGCTTAAGAAATGCTGAGTGTGTTTTGTCCTATTTTGTTTTCTAATTCTAGGTCTTTGCATACTACATTAGAATATTTGACTTTGTTTTCTCAAGTTGACCTTTGAAATTTTCTATTCAACTCTTGTACCTCATCGTTTCTTCAATTTGCTTTAGCATCTCTACACTGAAGAGCAAGTTTCAGAGTCTCTTCTGACATCCATTTTGTTTTTTTCCTTATTTCTTGTCTTCTTAATGACCTTTTGCTTTCTTCCTGTATGATGTTTCTTGATGTCATCCCACAACTCTTCTGGTCTTTGGTCTTTAGTGTTTAATGCATCAAATCTGTTCTTCAGATGATCTCTAATTTCAGGTGGGATATATTCAATGTCATATTTTGGCTCTCATGGACTTCCTTTCATTTTCTTCAGCTTCAGCCTGAACTTGAATATGAATTGTTGAGAGTCTGCCTCTGGCCTTGTTTTGGCTGATGGCATGGAGCTTTTCCACCGTCTCTTACCACAGATGTAGTCAATTTGATTTCTGTGTATTCCATCTGGTGAGGGCCATGTGTATCATTGTCTTTTATGTTGTTTAAAAATTGTATTTTCAACGAAGAAGTCATTGGTCTTGAAAAATTCTATCATGTGATTTTCAGCATTGTTTCTATCACCGAGGTCATGTTTTCCAATTACTGATCCTTTCTCTTTATTTCTAACCTTTCCATTCCAGTCACCAGCAGTTATCAATACATCTTGATTACATGTTTGATCAATTTCAGACCTAAGAAGTTGGTATAATTTTTCATACTTATCATCACTGACTTTCATAGCTGGTGCATAAATTTGAATAATAGCTGTATTAACTGGTCTTCCTTGTAGGCATGTGACTATTATCCAATTACAGACAGAGTACTTCAAGACAGATCTTGAAATGCTCTTTTTGATGATGAATATGACACCATTTGTCATCAATTTCTCATTTCTGGTATAGGTAACCATATTGTTGTCAGATTCAAATGGTCAAAACTAGTCCATTTCAGCTCACTAATGGCCAGGATTTCGATGTTTGATGCATTCCATTTCATTTTTGCTTGGGTCCACCATCAACATTCATGAAAGCAGCATTCAAGAGATCAAATGGCCTATTGCAATAGACAAATCTGCTGCAAAAACTGGCATCTTTTCTTCAAATATTCAAGAACAAGGATGTCAGCTTGAGGACTAAATTGAGGCTGACCTGAGTCTCATGCATGAGAAAGTTGGACAGTGAATAAGGAAGACTGTAGAAGAATTGATGCATTTGAGTTATGGTGTTGGAGAAGAATTTTAAAGGTACCATTAACTTTCAGAAGAACAAATACATCTGTGTTGGAAGAAATACAACTAGACTGCTCCTTAGAAGCCAAGATGGCCAGACTCTGTCTCTCATACCTCGGACATACTCTCAAGTTGGATTTGAGAAGTACAATATGCTCGGTAAAATGGAGGATCAGACAAAGAGAGGGAGACCCCCAATGTGATGAATTGGCACAGTGGCAGCATCAATGAGCTCAAGCATAGTAGCAATTGTGAAGCTGGCACAGGACCAGGCGGTGTTTCATCCTATTTTACTTAGGGTCACTATGAATCAGAATCACCTCTATGGAATCTAATAACACTTTATCTCTGTACTCTTTTATTGTCAACTGTAGTCTGATGTTGTCTTTTCAGGGTGGTGGTGTACTGTTCCCTCCTCTCCAACCCTCCAGGCTTGCCTCTTTGCTCTCCCTTTCCCCTCAAACTATCTGGCATTCTTTCCCCAGTGTAACATCAATCCAGAGAGGGCACCTCTGGGTATGTGTGACTCCACACTTGTTTATTCTACATCACTTTTCTTTCTTTTTCCCACAGTCCATTGGTGGGAGGGGCATGCACTGCCCTACCTCATCCTCTCTATCATGGACCTCCATGTCTCACAGTCTAGTTCCAAGGACCAGGTTTCCTGACTCATCCTTAAGGAGGAAGGGTTAGTTTTCCACTCTGCTGTAGTTAGCTGGATAAATTCTTGATACATTAGAGGGAGAATTTTGGAATTTAGATTCCTTTCTCCTTCTACAAATTTGACTCTCTGAAGAAGTCAAAAGTCAGCTTTGTTTTTATGGCTGAATGGTGACCTCTCTGATTTGTGAAAGAGCTACTTTCTTTCTCATCATGGCTCAGTTTTACAGGTAGAAGTCTCCATGGAGCATGATTTAAGT